GCCTACTCTACCCGACTATCCTATCTACAGCCTGTCTCTTATACACATCTAGATGTGTATAAGAGACAGGTAGACAATCTTCGGTTCCAGGGGGAAGCGCTTTCAGAGATCCAGGCTGAAGCCACCTTCCATTCACTGTTGGCCACTGCAATACAAGCGGACTGGACATGCTGGGTGGTACAGACAGACAGGAAGGCCGGCGCTGGTTTCAGAAAACCTGGCGTTTGGGTTTGGCCCACATATCCCCAGAAGAGAAGCTGGCCCTGGGTAACTGGCACACTTGTAGGCATAGTGAGGGTGCACAATAGGGATAGCAGAGGGGATGGGTCTATTGTTTAAACCAGGTGCACTCTGTTTCTGTCGGCAATCACAGTGGATTGCAAACGGGCAGGATGGGTAGGGAGAGTGCCAGGGTGGGAATGGAACACTGGTGTGTTCCTCTCGGTCAGGTCTAGGCCGGGGACAGACCTTGTTAGGTCTGTGTATTAGGGGTAGGCTAGACTAGCAATAGGTTAGCAAGGGAGATAGGAATGATGTTAGTCTAAGGTCTATAGTGGACTAGTACATGTGAGTCTCGAATAAAGTTTTGAGTATGGAAATATTTGTGAAAGGTAAACTGTGAAGGTAAAGCTAAAAAAAGAAACTGAACGCCATTTTGCCGTGCCCCCCGGCCCCTTTCAGTTGTGCCTTCGGTCCATTCAACTGATCAAGGTAACCTGGCAAATGCAGCCTAAGGCTCTGCAGTCTTCCCCCGAATACAACGTACGGTCATTATAGCTGAATTTAGACTGGAAGATAACCCAAATTCATCTATAATGACAAATTCATCTATAATGACGAAGACTGTAGATTTTTTTTAATACAACGTACGGTCATTATAGCTGAATTTGGGGTATCTTCCAGTCTAAATTCGGCTATAATGACCGTACGTTGTATTACTGTCATTATAGATGAATTTGGGTTATTTTCCAGTCTAAATTCAGCTATAATGACCGTACGTTGTATTCGGGGGAAGACTGTAGGGCGTTAGGGCTGCATTTGCCAGGTTACCTTGATCAGTTGAATGGACCGAAGGCACAACTGAAAGGGGCCGGCGGGCACGGCAAACTGGCGTTCAGTTTCGGGGGTATAGCAGGATGTGTTCCCAGGAAGAGGACAGGGAAAAGACGACGAAACAGAAAGAAATGGGGTCTTGACGGCGGAGGAGGGGGGGTGGCCTTTTCGTTCCGATCTTGTCCGCTTTGTGTCCTGTTTCTTGCTCTTTGGCTCTTCGTTTGTCCATCGTCTGTTCACATACGCTTGCTGGGGCGAGCCTCCTCGTGCCGTGCCGTGCCGTGCCGTGCCGTGCCGTCGCGTGCCGTGCTGTGCTGCGTCGTGACCGAGGAGCGGCAGGGCGCCGAATGGTATCTACTGCGCTAAAAGCCGTGCCGGACACGGCGTTTCTTCGACTATATTCCAACAGTCCGTGTGTTTCTGTGAAATGGGAATATGAGTGTGTGCACCTAAAGTAATGAATTGAATATAACTAATAATATGCATAAATTATAAAAATATAATGAATTCAGAAATTCAAAAAAAGAACTAAATGGAGTCAAGTCTATGGGGGTGCATATACTCGCATATTTATGCATCATCTTTGTACACATGTACACCATATTTCGTATTCTTCCCCCCCCCCCCCCCCCCACAAAAAAAAAAAATCTTATCACGTTCCCTCAAACAGGGCCCACTCACCGAGCGTGGAAAAGACAAAGAATATGGCCCTCGCTCCACTACACAACACTCTACATGTATCTGGATGCTTTATGGACCCGGTACATTCAAAATGTTGGACTCGTACGACTGCACCTGGTCCAGAAAGCGTCCACACATGCATGTAAAGTGTCGTCTACTGTAGTGCGCCGAGGCCCATCGGTCGTGTGGTCCGGTGAGTCGCGTTTTTGGGACTGGAACAGCCAGCGACAGACTGGGGGCCAAAAGTCCCACTGGTAGCAGCAGCGTTGAGTTTCCTCAACGCCTGAATCTGGACGTGTTTGTGGATATGTGCAGAAACGGCGTTGAGTTTACCTCAACTGGACATCTCCACAAACCCGTCCGGATTCAGGCGTTGAGGAAACTCAACGCTGCTGCTACCAGTGGGACTTGGCCCCGGAACGGTGGACGGGCGTTATCCTTTCCGATTCATTGCAATTCATTCCAATTCATTTCCATTCAATTCAATTCAATTCAATTCAAATCAAGAAAGCTAAGAAAGCTAGCTCTCTTGTGTATGGGCGAGTATCGCGCTCACTCTGTAGAAAGGACTGCTGGCCACCCTCCGTACGGAGAGACGACATTCAGACCAGCAGCAGAAGGGAGAAGGGAGCAGAGTGGGGAGGAGAGGAGAGTCTGTTGGAAAAAGGGATCAACGGAACAAGGAAAAATTTCGAAAAAGTCAAAATCAAAAAGGAAAGGGGGGGAATGCTGGCAGGACCTTGATTGATTTGACAGCCAGGATCTACCTGACTTGGCGATCGATCGATCGATCGATGATCGAGCAAGCGAGAGCGAGCCCGTTTGCAGTCGACACTGCGCAGTGGCCGCAGTGGCCGTTACCGTGTTAGCGCGTTGGAAAAAAGCACGTAGGAGGAAGCAGGCCAGCAGCAGCAGCAGGAGGAGGAGGAGGAGGAGGAGGAGCAAGAACGCTCTCTTATGGTCGCTATAGCGTCTGTTGCGCCAATCGCGGATGCCACGACACACAACGATTTGATCTGTGTTCCTGCCTGCGGTATAGCGGGTGTCGTTGCTGTGGTAGAAGGAGCGGATCGTGTGTGCTTTGCTTATCCGGAGAGAACGTAGGCGGAGGGGCAGGGAGGCAGGATGTCGCACGTTTCATCAAACGAGGGCTGAAGCGAAACTTGAGAAGCGGGAGCGCGTGCTTGCTTGTGTGTCTCTGTGTGTGTGTGTGTGTGTGTGTGTGTGTGTGTGTGAGAGAGAGAGAGAGAGAGAGAGAGAGAGAGAGAGAGAGAGAGAGAGAGA